TTATGGGAGATTTCAACTATATACAACTATATGTAAAGGTAGAAAGAGTCTAGAATAATGACCACCCTCCCGGCCCGCCATCCCTCCATCCCTATCTCAGAAGCTATTATGCACATATCACTTGAAACATCCGAAAATATCTCGGTAGTCCTTGCTCTATTTTGCAGTTCTTGTATTTTAATTTGATAATTATTAAAATGATAATTATCACCTGATGTAAAAAGTTAAACCACTGAAGACCTTCTAGAGAACATTTCCCTGCACCATGCTTTCCTCTCCCCACACCCTGCTCTCAGCAGTTTCACCTTTTCTTTTTACTTTTTTTTTTTTTTTTGAGATGGAGTCCCACTCTGCCTGTCACCCAGTCTGGAGTGCAGTGCTACCTCGGCTCACTGCAACCTCTTCCTCCCAGGTTCCAGAGATTCTCCTGCCTCAGCCTCCTGAGTAGCTGAGATTACAGGCATGTGCCACTACTCCCAGCTAATTTTTGTAATTCTGTATTTTTAGTAGAGATGGGGTTTCACCATGTTGGCCAGGCTGGCCTCAAACTCCTGAGTGCAGGTGATCCGCCTGCCTTGGCCTCCCAAAGGTGGTATTATAGGTGTGTATATAGGCTGGTATTACAGGCGTGAGCCACTGCACCTGGCCTCACGTTTTCTTTCATCTAGAACCTGCCCCCGTATTTCTTGATTGCTCAAGTTATCAGCCACAGACATGGTTTACTGACTTCTGGCTGACAAATGACTATGTAACTTACACTCTCCCTCCCTTTCCCTTTGCTATTTTGATCACTTTAAATAATAAATCTCTATTTCTTGTATCAACTGTAGACAGTTTCTTCCTCTTACTCTTTCTCTCTTAGAATCACAGATGTTTTGTTTTCTAAGGTCAAAAGGGAAGACAAAAAACCAGTTTAATTACTAAGCTACTCTGCTGACACCTGTGTGAAATACAGGTCCTTTCTGCTAAGAATTACGATATAGGTGTCCCTGGCTGTCAGAAGCTGTGGGCGGGTAGCCATCATTGTTTTACTTCCCCACTGAGCATCCTCAAGCCTGCAGAATAATACCAGGTGTTTACTCGTCACTGTGCTCCCCCTCCAGGGCAGGCCTGCAAAGCCCATGCTCAGCCATCTTGGGTTACCCTCATGTTTGAATCATGGTTCTAATGTTAAATAGCTCAGTTCCTTTTCTTATAGAATGGAGCAGCTTTGTCTTGACGGTACCAGGCGCATAGTAAGCCAAACAAGTCACACCCAAACACTTGTTAAGCACTTGTGTATTAGCCATGGCAGTTCCTTACTAGAGAGAGTTGATGCTTTCTTCTGTTTGTGATAGAAAATTGGAAGCAACCTATGCCTATCAGCAGAAAAATTCATAACCTATCGTATAGACAAGGAATCTTCAATAAATTTATGGAAAAATGTGTATTATGAAAAAACAATCCATAGATTTCTTCTTTTCTTTTCTTTTTGAGACAGAGTCTCTCTCTGTCACCCTGGCTGGAGTGCAGTGAAGCGATCTTGGCTCACTGCAACCTTTGCCTCCTGAGTTTATGGTATTCTCGTGCCTCAGTCTTCCAAGTAGCTAGGACTACAGGCACATGACAGTACATTCAGCTAATTTTTTTTTTTTTTTGTATTTTTGTATTTTTAGTAGAGATGGGTTTTTGCTATGTTGGCCAGGCTGGTCTTGAACTCCTGGCTTCCAGTGATCCACCTGCCTCAGCCTCCAAAAGTGCTGGTATTACAGGCATGAGCCACCATGCCCAGCCTAAATTTCAAATATTTTTGCACCAAAATAAACTCATACTAAGTTCTTATATCTGAACAGAATCAGATATAAAAGGCACTAAGAAGGACATTGGTTTGAAAAGAGCCCCTATCATAGCAACATGAATTCTGCAAAAATTAAAGCAAGAGAAAACATCAAATTTATGGTGAAGCTTGGGTGGAAGAATAATGTAATCATTGGAGCTTTATGAAAAGTTTATGGGGACAATGTCCAAAGAAATTAACAGTTTACAAATGGATAATTCATTTAAGAAGGAACAAAATGGTGTTGAAGGCCACAGCAGCAGATAATTTGCAAGGAAAAAATTCATCTTGTTCATGCCCTCGTTGAAGAGGACCAATGATTGATAGCAGAAAGAATATCTGACACCTATTCAATTGGCTCAGCTTACACAAATTTGACTGAAAGATTAAAGTTAAGCGAACTTTCCACTCAATGGGTACCAAAACTGTTTTGCCCAGATCAGCTGCAGACAAGAGCAGAGTTTTCAATGGAAGTTGTAAACATGTGAGACCAAGATCCTGAAGCATGTTTTCAACGAATTGTAACAGGAGATGAAACATGGCTTTACTAGTACAATCCTGAAGACAAAGCACAATCAAAGCAATGGCTAGCAAGTGGTGGAAGGAATCCAGTCACAGCAGCAGCACACAGGTCAAGAGCAAAGGTCATGGCAACAGTTTTTTTGTGATGCTCAAGGCATTTTGCTTGTTGACTTTCTGGAGGGCAAAGAATGACAACATCTGCTATTTATGAGTGTTTGGAGAAAGTTAGCTAAAATGTTAACAGAAAAACACCCGAGAAAGCTTCACTAGAGAGTCCTTCTCCACCATGGCAAACGCTCCTGCCCATTCCTCTTATCAAACAATGGCAACTTTGCAAGCATTTCAGTAGAAAATCACTAGGCATCCACCTTACAGTCCTGATTTGGCTTCTTGTGGCTTCTTTTTGTTTTCTAATCTTAAAAAATCTTTAAAGGAAACTCACTTTTCTTTAGTTAATAATGTAAAAAGACTGCACTGACATGGCTAAATTCCCAGGACCCTCAGTTCTTCAGGGATGAACTAAATGGCCGGTCTCCTTGCTTACAAAAGTGTCTTGAACTTGATGGAGCTGATACTGAGAGAAAAAGTTTATATTTTGTATTTTTATTTCTTAATTCTATTTTTTTCCAGAAACATTTTGAAGTCCCCTCATACAATACAATGAAATGATAGATTAATCAACATAGATAAATCCCAAAAACGGTGAGTGAAGAAAGCCAAGTTGTAGAAGGAAATAGTATGTGGGGGTGGCCAAGCAATTGGATGTTTCTGTGAAGGTGTTTTTAGAAGAGACTAACATTAACATTGGTGGACTCTGAGTAAAGCAGGCCACCTGCCCTCCATAATGTGGGTATTCTCATCCAGTCAGTTCTGGGATTTTTTTTTTTTTTTGGACAGTCTTGCTCTATCGCCCAGGCTGGAGTGCAGTGGTGCAATCTCAGCTCACTGCAACCTCTGCCTCCCAGGATCAAGCCATTCTCCTGCCTCAGCCTCCTGAGTAGCCAGGATTACAGGCACCTGCCATCTATTTTTTTTAGTAGAGGCAGGGTTTCACCATGTTGGCCAGGCTGGTCTTGAACTCCTGACCTTGGGTGCTTTGCCTGCCTCGCCCTCCCAAAGTGCTGGGATTACAGGCGTGAGCCACCGCACCTGGCCCAGTTGCAGGATTTAGTAGAGCAAAGAGCTGAGATCCCCTGAGAAAAATGGGATTCTGCCAGCAGACAGCCTTTAGCCTTGAACTGCCATGTCAGCTCTTCCCTGGGCCTCCAACCTGCTGACACTTTGATCTTGGACTTCCAGCCTCCAAAACTGTGTGAGCCAATTCCCTAAAATAAATCTGTACACATTCTATTGGTTATGTTTCCCTGGAGAACCCTAATACACAGCATAACACAATATAACAGAAAGTTTAAAATAATGCAAAATAGTCCCATAAAGGGTTTATATACATATATAGTAAAACATTCATGGGAGTGGTAAGCACCAAATTTAGGGCAGTAGTGACCTCTGCGGGGGAGAATTAAATCAGGATAGAGTACAAAGGCAGTTTTAATTGTATCTAAAATCTTTGATTTCATGTGTCAGAAGAAGGTTTTTAACAAATAACACTGAGTTGACAATGCTGAGTATTAGGTGCCTTTTTATGTGTTAAAAATATATCATAATTAAGAACAAAATGAGATCACATAAATAAAATCAACTCGGAAAAGAAAGCTAGCGCCGTGACGGATACATCTTGGTCGCTGACAGACACAGGGAGAGACTGGCTGGGACGGGTTTGATGGAGAAGGCAGGTGGAAGCGGGGCAGGGAGGGGCAGTGTGCAAGTGTGGCCTCAGGGAACCGCAGGCCGGGGGCCGTGGAGGTCACGTGGACGCAGTCACAGTCACCCGGGTGGTTCTCCAGCAGGCCCTGCCTGTTCACCTGAAGTTGTCCCTGCAGAGACCGTTGTCTCCGATTTTACTCTGACAAAATGTTTCCTGGGCACTCGCCAACATCAGAGGAATCTAAGTTCCTCAGAAATTCTCTTGGGACGTGTTGAGGCTTAAGGAAAGGTGGAGGTTGCTCCTTTCCTATCCCAGGCGTGGCTGCTGTGGCAGGTTCTGTCACTGCGCTGACAGATCCTCTTTTTTTTTTTTTTTTTTTTTTTTTTTTGAGACGGAGTTTCACTCTTGTTACCCAGGCTGGAGTGCAATGGCGCGATCTCGGCTCACCGCAACCTCCGCCTCCTGGGTTCAGGCAATTCTCCTGCCTCAGCCTCCTGAGTAGCTGGGATTACAGGCATGTGCCACCATGCCAAGCTAATTTTTGTATTTTTAGTAGAGACGGGATTTCACCATGTTGACCAGGATGGTCTCGATCTATTGACCTCGTGATCCACCCGTCTTGGCCTCCCAAAGTGCTGGGATTATAGACGTGAGCCACTGCGCCCAGCCTCTTTTTTTTTTTCTAAACCAGTTTTTTGTGTCCCCAGATTCTGTGAGCATTCAATCCCCACAGCCAGTCCCTGTGGCTTATTTGTGGAGCAGTGCTCTAGGGCACCAGAGCCTAGCCTCTGTCTCTGCCTGACAGCTGGGGGCATGAAAGCCCAGGTTGGGGGTGGGGCAGCCCTGAGGTGGCTCCCTTGCTTGCTTCTCCACGTCCTGCCTCCCTGTCTCTTGCAGGTTTCCCCAGGAGCACTTCCATAGGACGTGGCCCACAAGCAAATGCTAGACTTGGGCTTTGCTTCTCAGGAATCCAATTTAAGGTAAGTGTTCTCCTCAGCCTAGTGCTCTTCCTCCTGGAAACCCTCAAGGGTCAGACTAGCTTGAGCTTTAGTCTGCCGAGAGTGGATCTGGGCGCATAGGCTCTGGAATCCGACTACTCAAGTTAAAGGTCTTGTCTATCATTTCTCGCTACGAACCTTGGAAAAGTTACTTAACTGTGCTGTGCCTCGGTTTCCTCATCTATAAAAAGGAATCATACAAGTAATGGCCTCTTAGGGTTGTTGTGAGGTTAAATAAATTAAGATGTGCAAAACCTTCAAAACAAATTCTGGCATCCAGCACATGCTCAATAAATGTCAGTTTTCTTAATCTCCACTGGAACTAAGGGACACTTACGGGCAATAAAGGGATAGATATGCTTTACCCCTTGGCCCTTCCAGGCTAATGTAATGCAGGGAACAAACTATTCTCTGTTGTGTAGAAACATAACCTCAGTTGATTCCAATGGGACAGAATGGACAGTTTAATATAGGCGTCCTCAAGCTTTTTACACAGGGAGCCAGTTCACTGTCCCTCAGACCATTGGAGGGCCGCCACATACTGTGCTCCTCTCACTGACCACCAATGGAAGAGGTGTCCCTTCCTGAAGTGCGGCGGGGGGCCGGATAAATGGCCTCAGGGGGCCACATGCGGCCCACGGGCCATAGTTTGGGGGACGCCGGGTTTAGTGTGTTGTTGCCAGAATGGATGTGGCTGATGTCCTATTGGAAGAATCATGGAAGAATCCTCACCCTTACTCTGCCTGAGACTCCACCCCATTTTCCAACCCCAAGCTGGCTGAGGAGCAGGGAGATGGGATTCTGGTAAGTGGAGGATCAGGAAGGGCAGGTAAATGCTCACTCCATCTTGTGTGAACATCAGCAAGAAAGAAGGTATAGGACTCAACGTGTTAGACTATGAGTGGGAAATCAAGGTTCTCGTCCCGGCTCTGCTTCTCACCAGTCATCATATTTATCACTTCTGAGCTTCAGCTTCAGTTTATTCATCTGTAAAAAGGAGGCAATGACACCTGTTCTGCTTATTCTGCAGGGAGGCTGTGAGGATCTCGAGGACACAGCCATGGAGAACATGCTGGTTCCTTGAGCTGCTAAGCACTGAAGTCCCGCCAATGGTGAGGAGGGTTCAGGGAGAACATTGCAACTTCACAGTCAAGATGATCCTTGGAAACCTTTTAGAAGGGCACCATCTTGGAGACCCACAATCAATAAGACCAGCACGGCTGAGAGTTTTCTCCAGCATTTGAATAAATGGTTGTTTCTTTGGTTGAACCATAATGCGGTAATTGGCTTAAACCGGGAGTCATGCATAGTATCTGGAAACTTCCTCACTTGAAACACCAGCATCTTGCTCAGCCTGCATAATCCTCTCATCATGAGAGGCACATGGGAAATGAGCCAGCCTGTCTGGAGAAGAAGCAAATGCATGTCTTCCATCTCCCGCTCAGTACTGGGCATATTATCCTCCTGGAGAAGCAGAAATGCCAGCACCACTTAAATGGTGTTTCTCTCTTTCTGCCCTGTACCTGCTGGAGGCACATGCCCATATCATGTAGGGTGTCAGGGCAGAGTGCTCTTAGGAAGAGCTGAGCCGTGAGGACCACCTCCCACACAGAAGAGGGAGGCCCTGGCAGAGTTCTCTGCCATGTGCTTCTAGGCTTCCTCAACTCGGAAATTTTATTATAGAGTTTTAGAATGTGATGAGCTCTTGGAAATCATGAAGATGAAGAATCAAGGTGGAGGTTAAATGGCTTGTCCCAGGCCCCAGAGTGGCCCTTTGCTTTTTGGAATCCAACAGCAAGGACTTGTGGGAATATCATGGGCTTTGACTAGGAGATGCAGGGCTCAAACGTCATCTTTGTCACTTAGTGATTGTATAATTCTCTAAAAGTCTCCCTATTTGTAGAAAGGAGGTAAGGGAACTTTCTTTCCTGGATTGCAAGATGATTAAAAGAGATGTGTTATAGGACGTTCAGTTTTCTGAGCTGAGATGACTGCAAAGTCACCGCACTCCTCTTACAATGCCTGGCAGGTGCGTCCATCTTTGGGAGATGTGCAGCCACTGACAGGCATGTCAGCTGGGGGTCATTTGGGAGGGCAGCCTGCAAGGGTGAGGGGATGCCAGCGGGCCATACTGCAGGGGCAGAAGCTCGGGGAGAGGGGTCACAGAAGGTCAACTGAAGAAGGGGCTTGTGCCTGCAGATGCCCCAGCGGGGGAGTCTCAGAGGAATCCAGAAAAGTGTTTCCAGGAGAAAGAATCTGGCTTAAACTTTAGCTGGACCCAGACAATGACACCAACTTAACATCTGACAAGGAAGAGCGTTTGTTCCCCCTTCCGTTCCCTTCCACTTCCCCTCCCGTCGTCCTGCTTAGATTTCAGTGAGCTGGAAACAGCCACTGTGAAGTGGGAGTGAGGAGAATAGCAAGAAAGAGACATGGAGCTGTCCTCAGCCCCTCCCCCACCCACCACATGCTTGGCCCTACCTGGCAGGGGAGAAAGTGAGGGTTGATGTGTTGAATAATATATATCAACTAGACATTCTGTTTCCTGAATTGAGACTGTTTTGTGACTTAAAATGAATGTGACATTTTTAGTTTCCTGCAAGTCATCAGAAAAATCATGGGATCCTCCATGTTTTTGCCCAGGGATTGGGAAGAGTATCTACCATCCACTGAGCAAGTTGAAAGGGACCTTGAGCAACATCCCTGTCAAACCAAAGCTGCATTTGTAACTACGTGAGTCCTTCCTGTTCGACCTGCGGTTGGCATTCATCGCATGCCCAGCACAGTGCTTGGCACATGACAGCGATGGACCAATGTGTGGATTTGTGTATGCTTCATCCCTCCTAGACCTCCAGGTCCCAGAGTCCAAGAATTTTGACTCTAATATCTGAATTCCCATAGTGCCTGGTGCATAGTAGGCCCTCATTAAGTAACTCATGAATGACCATAATAAAAGTGAAACCCGTGCCAGTCTTATAGTAGCCACCATGATAACGTCACACTGAGAGGCTGATGGTGAGGAAGAAGGCAGGACAGAAGCATGCCACCGTCACCCAAGATTCTGTATTTACACGTGACACTAGTTACACCCACGGGCTAAAGAGTTGTAGCCTTGTCTCTGACACCGACTCTAAGCCTTTTCCCCTTGATTTCATTCTTCTTTACATTTCAAAAGGATCAGAACCAGGCCAGGCACAATGGCTTATGCCTGTAATCACAGTACTTTGGGAGGCGGAGGCAGGTGAACCACCTGAGGTCAGGAGTTCGAGACCAGCCTGGCCAACACGGTGAAACCCTATCTCTAAAAACACAAAGATTAGCTGGGTATGGTGGCACACACCTGTAATCGCAGCTACTGGACAGACTGAAGCATGAGAATTGCTTGAACCTGGGAGGCAGAGGTTGCACCACTGCATTCCAGCCTAGGTGATGGAGTGAGACTCTGTCTTACGAACAGCAGCAACAACAACACCACTGCCACAGAAAAGGATCAGGACCGTGATGCTGATAACCGTCCTTTCCCAGATAAGAGATTTGGGACCGGGGCAAAAGTGTTTGGTGGGCTGAGACTGGAACTCAGGACCCTTGACTCTAAACTCAAGCTCCGACCTGAGCTCCAAAGCAACCCAGAATGCACCTGAAAAAGGAAAGGAAGGAGGTTTCTTCTGTCACGAATAGAAGCAGAAGAAAATAGGAACAGACTGGCTGGTTAATATATGTAAAGTCTCAGGGCAAAATGAAATTTTATGGTTGATTTATAATCCTCAGGAGATTGGGAGTTGTCCTGGAAATTTTGACATGAACAGGACGACTGCAGGGCAGTATGAATTGCGTGACTGGCTTCCTGGGATCAAGGTGGCTTTGGCAGTCAGGAAGTGATTATAGGAATCCAGGGCTGGACACAAGTAACATTTTGCAGCTGGGTGACCAGGTATGCAAGACAGTTCCTGGAGCAGCCAGCAGGTGGCGCCACCTGCCAAGAGAACCAGGGCAGAGGCGGTAGCCCAGACACGCCCGTCTCAAAGGGGCCCTGGCAACTCTGACTTGGTTGGCAGACCGCTGCCACGAAGTGGAATGCTCCTGAGACAGCGGGACCATCCCTGTGCACCGCCGTGCAAATGCCCATTTCTCCCCCTGCGCCCGCCACCCCCCACCACCCGAGGGTGGCGGCGCAGATGATGTCAGAAGGACTATGCAGCATGTCATTAACTACTAGAAATGTCATCATTAACTACCAGAAATGACGACACGAATTACTGCCGCAGTTTGCCGAATGCTTACCATGGCAAGGCACTGTGCTAAGTGTTCTAAGTGAATTATTTGATTCCCGCAACAGCCCTATGGAATAAATAGTATTCTCATTTTACAGATCAGAACGTTGGAATTCAGAGAGATTAAGAAATCTGCCTTGGGTCACAAAGCCAGCCAATGGCAAAATCAGTTTGAACTCAGTTCTTTCACACTCCATAGCTTACACCCATAGCCACTGTGACATTCTGTCTCAGTCTCCCTCCCTCCCTCCCTCCCTCCCTCCCTCCCTCTTCCATCCTTCCTACTTTCCTTATTGCCTTCTTGACTTCCTCCTCTACTTTCTTTGTGCTAGGTTTTAGGTTCGGAAATAATCAGACCATACCTCTGCTCTGAGGATTTTCAGTGTAACAAGGAAGCTCAGAATCACAGCAGTGGGTGTCTGGAACCATGATGGCGTGTGTCCGAGAAGAAGCAAGAAGGCTCAAGTATTCAGTACCAGCTCTAGGCAGGCACAATTCTGGGGGTTGTCCAAGTTGGAAATCCCAGCTGTTCATTGGTTTAATCTGGGCTTTTGTGAACTTGGGCGAGGTGCTGGCTTTTTTATCTCTTGGCAAACCCCTGTCCGGGCAATTTCTCCCTGCACTGCCATTTGGCAACACCTGGGCTACATTCTGGCAAGTGTTGGGCTGGGGGTTAATACAAATGCCACTTCATCAATGTTGGGGCATAGGCTACCAACTGACCCTCAGGAATGAAGGAGGCACCCCAAATGCACTGGACATTCTCATTTCCAGCCAGTCAACCAAAGGATGGGGGCAAGGAGCTCATTGGAGGCTGTCTCTTTTCTATAGGCTTCATCCACTACTGAGAGACGAGGAGCAGTGACAGCCTCCTCTATAGCTGCAGGCTTGGGAAATCAGAACATTTTACCCTCTAATTTTACACATAAGGAGCCTCAGAGGGAAAAGGCTTCATCTCAGGGCACACAGAGGTGAACACAGAGGGAGGAGTCCGTGGTACCAGGTCTCTGCATGTTCAGGGAAATGATCCATCTCCTCTGCTTGACAGAGTTCTAAAAGGGAATCTGGCCTACTCTCTGCGTGTGCGAAGGGAGATGTCAGGGAGATCCAATGCCTTTATCTAACAGTTGAGAAAACAGGCTCAGAGTGGTGGAGTAACTCGTCCAAGGTCACACAGTAGCTCAGTGGCATTTACTGTGTTTCTACTGTATGAACAGCATTCTCTTGGGCTCCCTGTACAGCTGTCCCTTCCGGACCCCAGTAGCACAAGTAGTTTGATAGGAAGTGAAGTTTAACTTCAAGTGCAAAAGGAAGAGAGGATGAAATGGGTTAGGTGCAGAAATATTGACATTTCTGGAACCTTTTTAAATGACAGTTGACAAGACACTAATGGGAATCAGGAGTATAATGTGAAAGAACAGTCGCTGGCGTTACGGATTTACCTGTGTACCATCCAAAAGATAAGTTGCAGTCCTGACCCCCAGTACCTGTAAAGGTGACCTGTTTGGTAAATACCTGTAAAGATATTTACAGATGTCATCAAGTTGAGGTCATTAGGGTAGGTTCTCATCTAATATAACTGGCATCCTTATGAGAGAAGGAAAATTTGGACACAGACCTATGGGAGAATGAAGATAGAGGTGGAAGTGATGCCTCTATGTGCCAAGGCAGGCCAAGGACTGCCCGCCATCACCAGAGCTGGGAGAGCAGCCGCGGACCGATTCTCCCTCACAGTCCTCAAAAGAACTACCCTGGCCGACACCTTGGTTTCCAGCTCTTGTCTCCAGATCTGTGAGAGACTAGCTTTCTGTTGTCTAAAGCCACCCGGTTTGTGATATTTTGTCATGGCAGCCCTGGGAAACCAACATGGCTGCCTCTTAGTTACTGATTACGTGGGGCACTTTCATTGGTTGATGTAATCAATATTTATCATGCATTATGTGGTGGCCGCCATCCTGGGTGATAGAGAAGCAGCAGAAAGCCAGAGAGGACAGGTTCCTCCCTCCCTGATGCACGTTTCCTAGTTCACATGCATTATCTCCAGCCCGCATCCCTACAGCAGTCCTATGAAACAGGGATCGTTCTCCCTCAAGGCACAGATAAGGAAATGGACTCCCAGGGGTCAGTCACGGGGCCAGGGCCTCTCTTGTGGGAAGGAGTCAGCTAGACTTGCTATGTTCTACCTCGATGGATTGCGTAGATGCAGGACTGCGAAGACAGATTCTGGGGGAGAGATGCGCGGGATGAGACAGGCAGGAGTGTGCGTTCTGCAGGTACATCCTGCTCAGCACGTGGGAGGCACAGAGTGGGCTGTGCTCCTAAAGTCACAGCACAGCCCAAGCAATTACATCTCAGCTCCAGCCTCACAGGGCTGCATAGGACATGTGAGGCGAGAGGTCGCTCGCAACTCGGTCTGCCTCCGTGGTCCCCCCACGGCTGCAGAGGAGGAGGCTGGGGATGCCTGCTTGCTGTGAGGAAGTAAAACCGTGGCCCCGATGGAGGGCAGCTGACAGCTGATATTCTGTAAACGAGCATTTACAGAATATCAGCGATCATCAGACCAGCTCACTCTGTGATCACGGTGGAAGAAGGAGACAAAGGCACACGGTGACTCCAGCTCAACAGAGGCAGGGGTGCTCCGCAACCGTAAAACCTCAACGTCCCTCCTTCCAGCTGACTCCAGCGA